ATTATACATTCTAGCCCGTCTGAAAAGGGGGGAGGGTACTATATATAGGAGGGTACTATACAGAACGCTTTACGGTACCCTATTTATAAGAAAAGTAATAATATAAATAAATACAATAAAGAATATAAAACAATGTAATTGATTATTAATATAAATGATTATAACTAGGAAACAGGATTCATTTAAAGTCCGAAGCATAGTATATAAATTATAATATCATATTTCACATGATTAATTATTTTGTAATACAAAAGACATAACATGTGATAACATAAACAAAATGTTATTGGTCTATCAGGCTTGCCAAATTTGGACAGACAGAATGACCTTGCATTTAAATGACCTAGAAGTAAAAGGTCCTCCGCTATGCTTCGGATAAAAATAAAAGAAAGTTCTGACATTTTCTAGGACTTTGCATAATATTAACTTTTATCATATCTGGTCTTTACTACTTATTTATCATATATGAAGTAATTGATATTTTATATAGATTTGGTATTTTTCAAAGATCTGTTAGGATGACGTAATAATTTGATGTGACTTCAGTTTGTCATATAATTTATGATTGTTTCTTCTATTACAACACCATAAACTTCCAATAACAATTCAAAATATTATAAAATTACAATTTGAAAATATCAAAATGCTTCTTCACATATTACTTGAAACTGCCATACTTGACTTACTAAAGATTAATATTATGTCTTATCAATAATTTCTTTATATTTTGGCCCAAATGATGATATCAAATGGTCATATTATTTTATTACAGGTTTTACAGAAACAGGTAAATCATATATCATAAATCTGCTGATAAATACTCTTAAACAAAAAAGATCAAATTATCTTTTATTGACTCCTACTAGTATCGCTGTCCAAAATGTGAAAGAAAGGACTATCTATTCTACATTACAAATTATCTTAGATTATAATCACTTTCGTACACATGTATATACTGATAAAGAATTAAATAAATTATTAAAAAAGGTTGATATCATTATCATTAAAGAAATTTTAATGATTTTAACACAACTCTTTAACTTTATATCTAATCTTTTTGCCAACCTCAATAATAATACTATCCTATTTGGTGAAATAAATGTAATTGTAATAGATAATCTTATTCAATTACCACCTATTAATGGTCAACCTGTATTTCAATCAATGACTTAGACTTTATTTTATCCTTTATTCCTAATGATTTCACAATGTTAACAAATAATATATCTACTGAAATGTGACAAATTCTTAGTCAAAAACATTCTGAATTTTTAACACATTTAGCAATCGATACACTTTTCAATACTACTAACATTATTAGCTTTAGAGAAAATGCTCAGTAAATTAATCGAATGATTTGTAATATCCTATCTGTTTCCAAAGGAAACTTTCTTATATCACAAGCTATAGATTCAATAAATTCTATATTATTGGATACTTGCTTTTCTGAAAGCTCTTTTAAAAGTAAAACCAATTTACCTTCTTCTATAAAATTACAACCAGATGTTCATATTATGTATCTTAATAATTCTTTGATTGAGTAAAATATCTGTAATGAAACAGTTGGAATTATTATGGATCTAAACCTTATTGACCATTCTATTTAGATTGCATTTTCTGTAAGAGGTTTTATAATAGATACAATCACTTATAAGCAAACAAATTACTTTCAACTATTGGAAGTAATTGTTACAGAATTCAATATCTACTACAGAATTGCTTTGCTCTTACTGTTCACAAGACATAAGGTTTAACTTCATTAAATGTTTTTCTTGCTTTAGATCAAAATATTTTTTCTGTAAGTCAAGCCTATATCACTATTAGCAGATGTTTTACCTGAAATAATATTGAGATTTCTCATCTTGACAGGTCAGCATTCATGACAGATCAACATATGATCCTAGAATATCAAAGGTTACAAGAAATCTCCCGATTAAATCCTTATAATTTTCAATCATAAAATATACATTTTAGAAATAAAAATGATAAGCATTAAATTATCTAACTAATACCTTGAAACATTTAAGATCATGTTATTAAATAAATTGTTTAATAAAAATCCATAATTTACTAATCATAATCTTCAATTTGATTTTAAAAAATATAACGTATCAAAAAAAACATGCATTGTAAAATCTTCAAATCAACTATTTATGCTTATTTTATTATAAAAAATTGATCTATCATCATTTTCTGTATGACACTTCACGTTTGTATGACGCATTGCGCTTGTGTGATACATTGAACTAACTCGCTAGTTATTTAAAACTAGTAATAAATATATATATGATAAATTATAGTTTTCAATAAAATATATTCAATAAAGTTAATAATTTTTTTTTGAAAATAATATAAATTAAAATTTAAGAATAGAATATATCAAACCATTTATTATTTAAAAAAATTATACATACAGTATATATATATATATTTTAAATATTAAATAATAATTTAAAACATCTGATATATAATGGATATATTACATAATCTTAACTTAATAATATACACATTATACAAATAAATACTAAACACCAAAAAAAAAATTTTTCTATAAGTTAATTTTTGACTTATCTAATCATCATTATAAATATTAATGTTCAATTTTTGTAAGATTTCAATGGCTTTAGGCTGATTAGATAGTGCAGCTAACTTTAAATATTTCTTGCCCAATAGCTCATCTTTGGGTACACCCAATTTTCCATGAATATATAAATCGCCTAGATTAAATTGAGCCGTACTATTATTATTATCTGCAGCTTTTGTAAGATATTCAATAAATACGTTCTTATTAAATTTAGTTCCAGGATTTCCAACTAAACTAAATGCATATCGTAATTGTGCATCTGCCAATCCGTCATCAGCTGCTGCTTGAAATAATTTTGATGCTTCAACCCGATCTTTTTGACCAGCATAACCTTCCCATAAATAATATCCTTTCCAATACTTGGCTGTTGTATTATCTAACTCTGCGTGTGCATTAAAACATTCCCATGCTACTTCCGTCTCTTTTCTCTTATGAGCTGCAATACCTTCTTCGAGTGGTATGATTTCTTGTATTGCATCAATAGAGAATTCCATATCCAGATCTGGCAAATCGAACCCTCCTTCATCACTAACCGAAATCGCTCTAGATCCATCCAAATCTAAAGTTTTATCAGGTTTAAGAGCAGGTGAAGTATTGTACCCTGAAGAGCAATATGTTGTATACAAATCATGTAACTCCAAGAAAATCTGCTGTAATGAAGCTCGGATTTGTGGATCATCTTGCCAAGCTAATTGAGGTCAAACAATGTATAATTATAGATCATTATATGAAATGCATCAAAATATATCTTAATATATTATTATATGTGGATCTCTTACCAGAAACAATAATTTTCGCATAAATTTTTTGGAGGTTTTTAATCTCAGGAGTTGCTTTACCAAAAGTAATCTTTTCTCTTTTGTTAGACAAAACATATTCTTTTATTTTAGCCATTTCCCAACGCTCATAGGGAATTTTTTCAAATGCCAATTCCCAAAGAAGCATACCAAAACTTTATTTTTTTTTAAAAAAAAAAAAAAAAAAAAATTTAATAATTATAACATAATAACGATAAAAATTACACTCATAATATTCTTACCTGAAAACTTCGCATTTCATGTTATATGATTGTGTATTAGCGTTTCTCAATTTCTCGGGAGCAAGCCAATGCACAATTTCAGTTATATTAGTAAGATTAGAGGTACTATCGGTTGTAAGACGTGCATATTCAAAGTTTGTAATTTTAGGTTCCAAACGTGCGGTTACCATAATGTTTTCACAACGGATATCGTGATGAAGGATGGAACAGGAATGTAAAAAGGTGATACCACGACAAATATCAAGAGCAATGGTCACCTTAATAATAAAGATAAAATGTTAAAACTAATAAAAATTTAACTAAAAGATCTTGATTTTTTACCTTTGCGGTCCAAGAAATATCGTATTCGTTATAAACTTCGCGTAGAGTTCCAAATTCGGCCCATTCAAATACTTTGACCAGGCGATTATCGATATAAGAGAGTCCATAAAATTTCAAAATATTTGGAGAATCTCGAAGTTTTCCTAAAATAGTTAGTTGAGCTTGAATCTTTTGAGTTTTCTGGGAATTATCATCTGGTAATGTAGTCGGAATACAAGCTACGTCTATACTCTGTTTTAAGGATTTCCTATAAGTATAAGGTTCCCCTTTCCCACGACGATCAGATTTCTTCCCTCCAAGGGGATCAGTAAGCTCATTTGGTTCTATTTTGTTTGCTTTAATCGACTCAGGTATTGGTAGATTACTTTTTTTAATGTCATGAATACTTTCTATTTGATTCTTAATTAATATAACTTCTTGGAGAACTGTATTAATTTGGTTATTACCACAAGTAATACCACCTTCAATCTTTTCCAAGAACTATATTAAATAAATAAATAAATTATAAGAATATTAATAATAATTTTTTTTTTTTTTATAAAAAAAAAAGAAGCTTTTGTTACAAATGTTATATAATAACTTACCCTGGTCATTTCGGCTATATCTTCAGTAAGAGCTTGTTGGTCAATTTTACGCTGTTCTTCATTGGCAATTGTCATTGTGAAATTCAAATCTTTCATAACGATCTCAAAATCGTTAACTAAATTACTAAACTTATCTTTAATAGAACTGGCATGTAAGTATTTTTTGTAACCCTGTAACTGGGAGACATCCTTAATAAAATCTTTAATTCTTGTCATGACGTCAGTAAATTTTACAAAAGCTTTATAATATTCTTCATTACGGAAATTTTTTTCATTTTCTTGTTTCCTTCTATTTAAAATTTTAATAGCACCATCAGCTATTTGAACTCTATCCATCAACGCATTACAAATTTTTTTGTTATATTCAACATTTTCATAGATTTTTACAACTTCTCCAATTATTGATGTAACAGCCGCAATTAATGGTATAAATGGTTTTATGGCTTCTCCTACGGTTCCTACAGCCCCAAGGCTAGCTTTTGTAATTTCTAATGAGCTAAAACCTATGGCAACTTCTGTAGCACCGGCAATAAACTCTGGAGTAGCCTTAATTGCGGAATGCATATTTTCTTTTTATTAATAAAGGTCTATTATATTGGCTATTTTAGCTTTGAACTAAGCAAAAAACCTTCGGTCTTTAAAACTTATAAAACAAAGTAATCCTTTACTTATAGCCCTTTTCATCTAGGTCGGACCGGATCGATGTAACCAATCACATCGAAGCACAATTTTTGTTCATCGATCACGAACTTCCGATTTATGTATTAAATGTTACAGATAGTTTTTAGAAGACAAACAAATGATGATAAAGACTTTAAAGAAGAAAAAGTATTATTAAAACGCGTTCAGATGTGTCTATCAAGGTACTATACTGATGGATCGTCGCTTCAGCTGTCATGAATATAGATCCACATACTGAAGATACATTATAATTTTTGATTAACTAATTATTATTAAGAAAAGATTGTATTTCAAGAAGTTAAAATATTATTAATAGATTCTTTATCATTTATGATCATCCAGAAATAAGGTTGTGTTCTTTTCTTTTAGCTTTATTATTCAAATTAAGTAATCTAAATGCATCAAACTTTATGTATGATTATTGAAGATTATTATAAATTCTGGATCTCAAATTATATAATTTGATTTTATAGGTATTTTACTTATAAAAATAGGTTTAAAGCTGCAAAGTCAGTTATTACTAAGTTTTTTTTTTGGTAAAAAATCACTTTTAAAGTTATAAAAACATTTATTATTTTGTAAAATTTATTTTTGAAATTTTTTAGTATATTATATTAATGATTTTTCTAGTAAAAACTTTATAAATAATTATATTTTAATATTTAATTTATATAAATTAAAATCTTTTTATATTTAATTTAATTTGATTTAATTTGATTTGATTTGATTGAATCAATTTGATTTTATTTGATTTAATTTAATTATTAAATTCAATCAATTAAACTATTTAATAATTATTATGATCAAATATTCTTTACTAATTAAAAAATCTAGTTATATTAATATATATAGTTTGATTAATAAAATTAAATATATAACCTTAATAAAATAAATATAATAATTATAATAAATAAATTATAAAAATAAATTAATTAATAAACTAAGTAAACTAAAAAAATAATATAAATGACGTTAATATTATTTGATGATTTACCGGGGGAGGACAAAAGTATTGCACAGTTTTGATTTAAATATTTTAGTTAATTTATCATATGTAACTAAGCCATATTTTTTTAGTAACATATTAGCTGGCTTATGTTTAATAAAATATTTAAATAATTGTTAAAATTAAAGCATTGTAAGATGTAAAATCGAAAATTTAAAAACACTTTACTTTTCAATTTATCGCATATACTAAGCTTCGATATCAGATTCAATATTTGGTTTTTTAGATATTTCTCTTGCAAAAGAAACTAAATAACTATTGTATAATGATATCCTATAATATTTATGATTTCTG